AAACTTGGTGGGTATGTTGGGGAGAGGTACCAGTAAGCACGCTCCAAGTTTGGAGCCTCTACCCCAAACCCCCTCCCCCCCAGCCTCCCGCAAAGTTCCAAGAGGATTTTTGCCATTGACTTCAATGGCCCCATTGGTTATAATGGACCCGAATTTTTCGGGAATTTTTTTCGGGATTCGGACAAGCTCATAAATTGCTAATTCGGGATCCCAAAAGCCGAAAAAAGCCGAAAATCGTTATTTTCGGCTTTTTTTTCGGTTCGGGATCCCGAAATGCACATCCCTAATAAGAACCAGGCACGGCACACAGTGAACCCTGTAGTGTAATGCCAGATTGCGAAATTGGAAGATCGAGTGCTACAAACAGTACAGTGCATGCAATCGAGGAAGATTACGAAAGAGGAGAACGGTGCAGTTAAGACATCATAGTGGAGACCGCAAAGGGGTGAAGCTGGATTATACGGTTGAACAAGGAAATAAAAGCAGTATTGTATCTACAGTGCGTCGTGCCTGCAATTTCAGATGTGGAATGCTAGTAGGGCGGGAGCCGTCCTAATTTCCTCAGGCAGCTCGTTCCACCAGATAGGAACCACAACAGGAAATGGTCAAATAGGGGCAGCTGTTGATCTTACCCGTTTGCAAGGTGTCACCTTCAGAAAGCTTTGCCTAAGTGGGTGACGCCGCCGCAATGTGGGACAGAGGGTTTTGAACGGTATGCAGCTCCCAGGCCATGAAGGGCTTTGTACGGGAGGAGAAGAAGAGATTGGGTTTATACCCCACCTTTCACTACCTGAAGGAGTCTCAGAGTGGCTTTCTTTCCTTTCCATTCCCCTCCCCTTCTCTCCCAACAGCAGACACCCTGTGAGGTAGGTGTGGCTGAGAGAGCTCTTTTGAGGACTGCTCTTGAGAGAACAGCTCTGAGAGAAGTTATAACTGGCAGCTGCATGTGGAATGGGGAATCAAACCCAGTTCTCCCAGATCAGAGTCCGCGATCCTAACCACTACACCAAGCACCATCTTCACTTGGACTCAGCAACTATCTGGCAACCAATGGAGCACCTGCAGAATAGGTGCAATGTGCATTTTCTGCCTAGCTCCTGATAGCGACCAAGCCACGGGTGTTCTGTACCAGCCAAAGGTTCTCAGTTGCCTTCAAGGGCAGACCCACATAGTGTGTGTTACAGTAGTCTAGCCTTGTAATGGGTGGCATGGATCCTTGTGGGCGGATCAGCCAGCTCAGTGTAGGAAGCCATCCTCTGGGCTAAATGAAGATGGAAGAAAGCGTTTTCGGCAGATGAATTACCTTCCTTCTCCAGCCATAATGCTGGTTTGAGTAAAACCCACAGACTCAACTTGAGTCAGTGAGGGCCAGCAGAACTCCATCAGAAGTGGGAAGTGCAAAGACCTTGGCCTTCCCAACCATCACCACCTTCATCTTGTCAAGATCCAGTTTCAACTTGCTCACTGTTAGGCAGCCCAGCACTGGCTTGAGACCTCTAGAGCAGTGGCAAGCAGTGTTCCCTCTAAGCTGAGTTAGTGTGAGCTAGCTCACAGTTTTTTGGTCTCCAGCTCGCACATTTTTGTCTTAGCTCAGGAATTCACTGCCACAGGAAGTGGTGGCGGCTACAAGCATGGACGGCTTCAAAAGGGAATTAGATACGCATATGGAGCAGAGGTCCATCAGTGGCTATTCGCCACAAGGTATAGATAGGGACTCTGGGGCAAGTGATGCTCTGTCTTCTTGGTGCTTGGGGGGGGGGGGGCAAACAGGGGGGGGGTTTCTAATGTCCTGGCCCCACTGGTGGACCTCCTGATGGCACCTGGTATTTCTGGCCACTGTGTGATACAGAGTGTTGGACTGGATGGGCCTTTGGCCTGATCCAACATTGGCATCTCTTATGTTCTTAAGGATGGCTCCAGAACGAACTGATTTATGCAGGAGTCAAATGGCTCGCTCACCCCTTGAATGCCAGCAGCTCACCAAGTAGAATTTTTGCTCACAAGACTCCACAGCTTAGAAGGGAGCATTGGTGCCAAGACACCAGGAACAAAAATGCAGAGGCTTGTGTCATCAGCATATCAATTACACTTAACTCCAAAACCGTGAACAATCACTCCCAAGGACTTTAAGCAAAGATAAAATAGCACGTGGCGATAAACTGACTTCTGTAAGACCCCCACAGGATAAGTCCTTCATAGATAACAGCTGAAGGCCAGTCTATATAAAAGACGGGTACCTGCCCCCAGGAGTCTACTCTAAAGTTTGACACCAGGGAGACGGCAAAAGGGGGGGACTGGGAGTTGGAAATGATGTGGGGAAGAATAGGCATGGATTTCATTTATTGGGAGGCCACAGGAGCTAATTAAATGCTGAGTGGATATTAACATAAGAAGAGCCCTGCTGGATCAGACCAGTGAGGGTCCATCTAGTCCAGCATCCCGTCTCCCACAGTGGCCCCAAACAGCTCCTCTGGAGGGACAACAACAGGGCAGAGAGGCCGAGGCCTTCCCCTCATGAGAACATCAGAAGAGCCCTGCTGGGTCAGACCAGTGAGGGTCCATCTAGTCCAGCATCCCGTCACACAAAGCAGCCAATCAGATCCTCTGGAGGGCCAACAACAGGGCAGAGAGGCTGAGGCCTTCCCCTGGTAAGAACATAAGAAGAGCCCTGTTAGATCATACCAATAGTCAATCTAGTCCAGCATCCTCTCTTATACAGTGGCCAGCCAGTTATTCTGGATGGCCAACTACAGGGCAGAGAGGCCTTCCCCTGATGTTGCCTCCTGGCTCTGGGATTCAGAGGCTTAGTGCCTCTAAATGTGGAGGTTCCCCTCAGCCATCGTGGCTAGTAGCCATTGATAGTCTCATCCTTCATACCTAATCCCCTTTTAAAGCTGCTTATTCCTGTGGCCATCGGATCTGCATCCTCTGGCAGCGAATTCCACATTTTAATCAATTTCTGTGTAAAGCAGTATTTCCTTTCCTGTCCATGTTACTGATGAAGAGGGGAGTAGCGAATGGTAGTAGCTTTTTTCACTAGTGTAGTGGTTAAGTGCGTGGGCTCTAATCTGGGAGAACCGGGTTTGATTCCCCATTCCTCCACTTGCAGCTGCTGGATGACCTTGGGCAAGCCGTACTTCTGTCAGAGCTGTTCTCTCAAGGACAGTTTTCTCAGAGCTCTCTCAGCCCACCTACCTCACAGGGTGTCTGTTATGGGGAGGGGAAGGGAAAGGAGTTTGTAAGCCGCTCTGAGACTCCAAGTGAAGGACGGGATATAAATCCAATCTCCTCCTCCTCCTCTTCTTCTTCTTCAATATTAATGTGTATTTTGCAAATTGACTAATTTGCATACATGTGCATATGGATATAACCTTGCTGAAAACTGTTTTCTTGGTTTTTAGGCATACTAGCCTGTCACATCTTCTGATGCTTTCCCTTTTCAAGGGGCAGGGAGACGTCTGTTCTAAGTCCTCCCCGATTTCATTTTTATTTTGTTGTAGCATTTACACCCATGCAGCTGCTTCCATTGTCAAATGGCAAACTGCTGAAAAGCAATGAGGGTCATGCCAAATCAATGACAGAATGGAGGGGTGCCACCTTCATTGGAATGCAGCAGAACAGATTGGAAGCTTTCTGGACAACATTCCGGACGATCATTTACCTGTCGGGGATAAACAATGGGTGGGGGAGGGGCCTCTCACAGCAGATCAGTGCGGGGAATGTGCTGTCGAGTCACCGCTGACTAACGTGGCCAACTCTGTAGGGATTCAAGGCAAGGGGTGAACAGAGGTGGTTTGCCATTGCCTGCCTCTGTGTAATGAAGAAAAGGAGATTGGATATTATACCCCGCCCTTCACTACCCGAAGGAGTCTCAGAGCGGCTTACAAACTCCTTTCCCTTCCCCTCCCCACAACAGGCACCCGGTGAGGCAGGTGGGGGCTGACAGAGCTCTCTCGAGGACTGCCCTTGAGAGAACAGCTCTGAGAGAACTGTGACTGACCCAGGGTCACCCCAGCAGCTGCATGTGGAGGAGCGGGGACTCAAACCTGGTTCTCCCAGGTTATAGTCCGCGCTCCTGACCACGGCACCAAACTGGCTCTCCAGGTCTAATGACCCTGGACTTCCTTGGTGGTCTCCCATCCACATACGAACCAGGGCCGACCCTGCTTAGCTTCCGAGATCTGACGAGATCAGGCTAGCCTGGGTCCTTCAGGTCAGGGCACCAAATCAGTAAGGTCTGAGAAAGTAGATGTTCTCACCCGGCATGGATCGTTGCTTGCTTGTGAGGCTTTCCATTCCAAATAATGACTTTGAGATATCCACGTCCCAACTGATTGAGGGTGGGCACCTTTCTTGAGTTGCACAGGAGGCTTTCGGGCGTAGTCATAAGGGGTAGGATGTTGCAGATGAAGCTGACTCTCCTGCCTTGCCCGCAGCCCCACGGTCAACACGACTCTGAAAAGCCTGGGGGCTCTCTACCGACGCCAGGGCAAGCTGGAAGCTGCGGAAACACTGGAGGAGTGCGCCCTGAAAACCCGCAAGCAGGTGAGTCCCATGACTGGCAGAGACAGGCAAGGACGTCCCAGCAGTGGGAGGAGCGAGTCTGTAGGATGTAAACAGCCACGTGGCTGATCACCTATGGTGAGTAAAAAATATCTCCCTGTGACCAGGTAAGGGAGACTTTTTGCCAGCTTGAAAGAGTAGTTGCTTCCTCTCTTGTGTTTCAAGACGGCGGTGGGGGGGATACAAAACAAAACAAATTAGGATGTGCAAGAAGAATTTTTGAGGATTTTTTCCCCCACTTACGTCACTCTGTGTTGGTATCTCTAATCCCCCTCTGGCTCTTGGTCCTTGGATCCTCTTGCACTCTATTTCTCCGGGTTAATGATAGAGGTTTATAAGATTATGCATGGGACAGAGAAGGTCATAGAATCATAGAATGTTAGAGTTGGAAGGGACCTTGCAGGTCATCTAGTCCAACCCCCTGCACTCTGCAGGAGCGTAGCTGAAAGATAGCCCTACAAACCTACAACATACCCAAAAGATGGTCGTCCAGCCTCTGCTTGAAAACGTCCAGCGAAGGAGCATCCACCACCTCCCGAGGCAGACTGTTCCACTGCTCAACCACTCTTACAGTTAGGAAGTTTCTCCTGATATTTAGCCGGGATCGACTCCCTTGTAATTTCCACCCATTAGATCTAGTCTTGCAATCCGGAGTCCTTTTCTCCCTTTCTCACAATACAAGAACTCATGGGCACTCAATGAAATTAATGAGCAGGAGGCTTAGAACAGATAAAAGGAAGTACTTCTTCACATAAAGAGTAATTAACAGGTGGGATTCACTGCCGCAGGAAGTGGTGGCACTGGCAGCTACAAGCATAGACAGCTTCAAGAGGGGATTGGATATAAACATATGGAGCAGAGGTCCATCAGTGCTTATTAGCCCCAAGGTATAGATGGAACACTCTGTCTGGGGCAGTGATGCTCTGTGCTCTTGGTGCTTGGGGGTGGGGGCAACAGTGGGAGGGCCAGGGGTTATTTCCTGCGGGAGCGCACTGGAGCAGAGCTCCAGCAGTAAAGAGCCCAGGGGGCGGGCACATGCAACAACCCCACCCCTCCGCTCACAGCAGCCCTCAGCGAGAAAGCAGCCAGGTAAACTGCAGAGCCCCTGGGGTGGGGCTTCTGGAGTTCTGGCCCCGCTGGTGGACCTGATGGCACCTGGATTTTGGCCACTGTGTGGACACAGAGCGTCAGACTGGTTCCTCTCATGTTCTCCTTATGCTCTCCTCCCACCAGGGCATGGACGCTATCAACCAGAGCAAAGTGGTGGAACTACTGAAGGACGGGAACCGCTCAGAACATCGGCCGACCCGCGAGGGGGCATCCGGTGCCAACAAGTGCGAGAATGGGGCTGAACCAGAAGACGGGGCGGCGGAGTGGTCTGGGGTAAGAGCCCAGCGGGGCTCGGGGTGTCCTAGCCTGTTGAACCGTTTCCTTTTGGGGTGTAGCTGACTAGAGGGTACCCATTTGATTTCCTTGACTTGCGTTATCGCAAGACGCCAGAGAACAGCGGTTGTCACCCCCGCAGATGTGAGCTTGCAGGGTATAGAAGGGTAGTACACATTGGGGGGAGCAGAGGGGGGTTCTCAAAAGCTGCCTCCTGTCTGGAGTTCCCTTCTTCTGGGCACCCACCAGAGCACAACTCTAGGTGCCTTCCAAGAACAGCTTTGGTGTAGTGGTTAAGTGCACGGACTCCAATCTGGGAGAACCGGGTTTGATTCCCCACTCCTCCACTTGCAGCTGCTGGATGCCCTGTTCTTGAAAAAGAGCAGTGTCTGTCAAGAGCACTCTCAGCCCCACCTACCTCACAGGGTGTCTGTTGTGGGGAGGGGAAGGGAAAGGAGTTTGTAAGCCGCTCTGAGACACCTTCGGGTAGTGAAGGGCGGGGTATAAATCCAATCTCCTCCTCCTCCTCCTCTTCTTCTTCTTCTTACCTTGGAGTTGGAAACAGGTCTTGGCAGCCAAATACACAGTCAAATGAGGGCTTAACCACCCAGACCTGGATAGCCCAAGCAAGCCCGGTCTCGTCAGATCTTGGAAGCCAAGCAGGGCCAACCCTGGCAAGTACTTGGAAGGGCGACCTCCAAGGAATACCAGGGCCAGGAGGCAAAGGCAGGCTATCAAGCTACTTTTTCTTTCTTTTCTGTTTTATCTTTTATTAATTTCTAACCGCTTTCAATACAAACATTGCACTGAAATGTCATACAGTAAACTACAAGTTGTCAGCAAAATCAAGGAAGTATGGTAACATATTTAAACATCACCGAAGAATTTTATGCATCTATTTGCATAACTTACCTAATCAGAACTCTACATCTTTACCCTAGTATGAGTCAAAAGCTGAGGTCGACAACCATTTGTGGAATTTCACTCTGTGATTTAAGGTATTCTACTGTAGGTAGCCAGATTGTGGAAAAATTGGATTGTGCAGAAGGTTGAGAGAGATGTGCCGAACTGTCTGTTATTTTTGCCATGACATACAGATTTCATATTTTTTGGTCCTATTGTGCGAGGGTAGGAGATTTGGGAGATTTCCAGTTCAATGCTATGGTATTACAGGCAGCATATAACAATAAGGAAACTCTTCCTTTAATAGAATAGGAACCGACTGTACTCCCCCAAGTATTTAATAGTTGATCATCTGGTGTGCGAGTTAGGTCTACATTGGTGAATGATGTCATTTGTGTTATGACCGATTAAGCTACTTCTCTGAATGTCCTCCATGCCCCAGTAGGAGTCGCCAGAGGTTACCATGACTTCCAGGCAGAGGCGCATACTTCTTCACCCAAAGAGTGATTAACACTTGGAATTCACTGCCACAGGAAGTGGTGGCGGCTACAAGCATGGACGGCTTCAAAAGGGAATTAGATAAGCATATGGAGCAGAGGTCCATCAGTGGCTATTAGCCACAAGGTATAGATAGGGACTCTGGGGCAAGTGATGCTCTGTCATCTTGGTGCTTGGGGGGGTCAACAGTGGGAGGGCTTCTAATGTCCTGGCCCCACTGGTGGACCTCCTGATGGCACTGGTATTTTCTGGCCACTGTGTGACACAGTGTTGGACTGGATGGGCCTTTGGCCTGATCCAACATTGGCCTCTCTTATGTTCTTGTGTTCTTATGTTCACATACACACAGGTGCACGCAAAAATGCAAAAAAAAAAAAAAAAAAGGCGGGTTTAACCAAGGGCTGCTGTGGGTTTTAATTCTCAGTGCCTTGTTACCATCCTGGAATCTTGGGATAGAACAGGATGTATAAATCAGTCTGCGTGCAGCCATTTTTCTCCACCCAGTGATACATCCATTCTCCGTGCACACGTTGGGACACTTTCCTGCTTTCTTCCCCTTCCAGGCAGGCTCCGGGGCCTTGCGGCGCAGCGGCTCCTTCGGGAAACTGCGCGACGCCCTGCGGCGGAGCAGTGAGATGCTGGTGAAGAAGCTGCAGGGGAGCAGCCCACAAGAGCCCAGAAACCCAGGGTGAGTGCTGAGCCAGCAGGTCCCTGGCTGGGCTCGGCGAGCGGGCAAAGCAGTGCTGCCCCCAGCCGACTTAAGCTACTGGAATGCAAGGAGTGCCCTTCCCCCTTAGGCTGACGGCCCGTCTGGTCCAGCCTTCTGGTCCCTGCAGGGGCCGGCCAGATGCTTCTGTGGGGCTCCCAAAAGGGGAATGGGGAATGAGAGCCAGTCTGGTGTAGTGGTTAAGTGCACAGATTCTAATCTGGGAGAACCGGGTTTGATTCCCCACTCCTCCACTTGCAGCTGCTGGTGTGACCTTTGGTCAGTCACAAGTTCTCTCAGAGCTGTTCTCTCAAGGATGGTTCTCAAAGAGCTCTCTCAGCCCCAGCTGCCTCACAGGGTGTATGTTGTGGGGAGACGGGAAAGGGGTTTGTGAGCCGCTCTGATACTCCGAGTGAAGGGCGGGGTATAAACCTAATCTCTCCTCTCCCTCCCCCTCCCCTCCTCCTCTTCTTCTTTTTCTTCCTCTTCCTCTCCCCCCCCCCCCCCCCAAGAGGTGACTGCCCTCTCTCCATCCGCAGAGGTTCCGTTTGGGCTGACAGTAGCATTAACACCAACCCTCCCTCATAGATCTATCTAATCTAGGGTTCCCCAACATGGCGCCCAGCATTATTTCCTTTGGCACCCTCTGAGCTTTCCAGAAAGTGGAAGGCAAGGCTTACTAATAAATAAATAAATAAATATTATTGGCTGCCCTCTTTCAAATCAATGGGTTTTCCGCCAGAGGGTAAGGAGGGGCTGGTAAGCACTGGGGATTTCCTTAGCGTGTGGTTCCATTTCCCCTTCAAGTTTTCCTTCTTCCTAAAAGGTGTGAGAGAGGTAGGGGTTCCATTCAGCTCCACCTCCTGTGGCAGCCATTTTGGGTTCAGCTCCATCTCCTGTGGCAGCCATTTTTGGTTCAGCTCCATCTCCTGTGGCAGCCATTTTGGGTTCAGCTTCACTTCCTGTGGCAGCCATTTTGGGTTCAGCTCCACTTCCTGTGGCAGCCATTTTGGGGTAGTGCTCACCACTTCCTCTCAGAATTCCAAATGTGGCCACAGGCTCAAAAAGGTTGGGGACCCCCAGGTCTAATCCTTTCCTGAAACACTACCTTAAAAGTTGTTACCACATCTTGATAAAGACCGAACATATGCTGCTACCTTAATACTGAGTCAGATGAGTTCGATGGTCAATTTTGTCTGCTCTGAGGTCATTTACGTCATTTGTGACCTGATCCTTTCCCCTGGAGGTGCCGGGGACTGAACAAGGGACCTTCTGGGTGCAAAGCAGGTGTCCAGCCAGTGAGCCATGCCCCTCTCGTGGCAAAAAAGCTCCATATGTGGCACCACGTGTGAAGGAACGCTTCCCTTTTGGGTCCCCAACCTCTGAAGAATCCCATTTCCCCCCCATCCCGAAGGCTGAACCTCTTTCCGCTTTGGTCTCCCCGCAGGATGAAGCGAGCCAGTTCTCTGAACTTCCTCAACAAGAGTGTCGAAGAAGAGTCGAGCCAGGTATGAGCTCTGATCGTGCAGCTGCCATGCCGTCTTCCCTTCCTCGGGTTTGCTTGTTCTTTTTAGCTGGGTAGCAGAAGGAAAGTGCGGGATTCGCTGAGCATCTCTCACGCTCAGTGTTTCCTCTACGTTGAGTTAACGTGAGCTAGCTCACCGTTTTTTAGCCTCCGGCTCACACATTTTTGTCTTAGCTCAGGGAGGATGGGCTCCAGAGCAAACTCATTGAGGCAGCAGCCAGATGGCTCGCTCACAACTTTAATGCCAGTAGCTCACAGAGTAGAATTTTTGCTCACGAGACTCCACAGCTTAGAGGGAGCATCTCTCACATTCAGGGTTGACAGATGTGGAGGAAAACCTGACCTGGGTCAGCTGGATGGGTGTCATGGCCTTTCTTGCACGTTCCTCCCCTGTCCTTCCCCCTTCCCAGTAGCAGCCTAAGCCCGGCAGTGGTATCGCTAGCTTCCACAGTTGCGGGGAGGGCTTCCCTTTCTGTGGAGAAGCCCAGGTCTGTATGGTTCATTGTCAATCAAGAACAGTTTGCACGGTCCTGACCTGGATAGTCCAGGCAAGATCCCGTCAGATCTCGGAAGCTAAGCAAGGCCGACCCTGGAAAGTTATTTGGACGAGAGACTTCCAAAGAACACCAGGGCCGGGAGGAAGAGGCAGGCTATCAAGCCACTTCTCCAGGGCTTTTTTTGTAGAAAAAGCCCAGCAGGAACTGATTAGCATAACAGGCCACACCCAACAGCAGAAACTCATTAGCATATTAGGCCACCGCCCTGACAGCACGGCTCATTAGCATATTAGGCCACACCCCCATGTTACCAGAAGTGTGGTCATCCAGCCACGCCCAACTTTTGCTTCTTCTGTTGACCTTGTTTGTGGTCAAAACCCAGGGCCTTTTTTTTTGCTGCAGGGACTCCTTTGCATGTTAGGCCACACACCCCTAATGTAGCCAATCCTAATGCGTTTCTGCTGTTGGGTGTGGCCTATTATGCTAATGAGTTCCTGCTGGGAGCCAGCTGGAACTCCGTTCCTGCCCAAAAACAGCCCTGCGACTTCTCTGAACGTCTTCCATGCCCCAGTAGGAGTTGCCAGAGGTCACCATGACCTCCAGGCACAGGAGCACAAATGCATCCACAAATGCAAGAAAAAAGAGACCGGTTTGCACTAAGGCACCACCAGACGCAGATCTAACTATCGAGGACACTTCCCAAGGCTACCCTTCTCCCATTTTATCCTCCAACCTGAGCTTGCAAGGTGGGCCATGCTGTGAGGCAAGGGCAGAGCCGGGACTTGAACCTGGAGCCCCCAGAGTCCAGGCCCAGCATCCTGCTGCGTTCGGCACCCCTTTGGGGAAAAAACCAGTTCTTCAGCTCAACTTAAGGCTCGGGACAGGCACATTTTATTTGTTCAGGTGAGGCCGCCGTGTTAGTCTGAAGCAACAGAACAAAGTTTGCGTCCAGCGGCACCTTTAAGACCAACAAATCTTAATTCTGGGTACGAGCTTTTGTGTGCACGCACACTTCTTCAGATACAAAGAACAAATCTTGAGTCCGGTGCAATGCTCCCTGTAAGCTGTGGAGTCCTGTGAGCAAAAATTCTACCTTGTGAGCTGCTGGCCTTGAAGTTGTGAGCGAGCGATTTGGCCGCTGCATAAATCAGTTTGCTCTGGAGCCCTCCTTCCTGAGCTGAGACAAAAAATGTGTGAGCCGGAGGCTAAGAAACTGTGAGCTAGCTCACGCTAACTCAGCTTAGAGGGAACACTGCCTGCCCCTTTAAGATGAACAAAGTTTAATTTTGGGAATAAGCTTTCGTGTGCATGCACACTTCTTCGGATTACAGATACCTGAAGAAGTGTGCATGCACACAGAAGCTCATACCCAGAATTAAACTTCGCTGGTCTTCAAGGTGCCGCTGGGCCTCGAACCTTGTTACATTTTATTTGCGTCTTTCTTTGTTAAAATCCTTTCACCCTCCCTTTCCTTCTTGGCTTGAGGCGGCCGTCTGAAGCAGGAAATGCAGATGGCTCCTCTGCTTCACTTCCCTCTTCCCCGAATGGTGAAACATCGGATCAGTCGCTGTTCTGACTTATTTATGTACATTATTTACAGTCCGTCTTTCTCACCGGGACTCCGGGTGGTTTACACAGGGTGAGACAGTGCAGTTGACAATATGAGATATTCAGTAACTGGTGCATTAGGATATTAGAAGCCTGGAACCCCCAGAAAGAACTAAAGCAGAGCATAAGTATTCACACGACACATTAAGCGGTACAGAAATTCCATGATAGGATCCTGCTTAATAGTCGGCTGTACCCAGCAAGATAGGCAGGCCACGGCCCTTAATCATTTATCAAAGGAAGTTTGTGAAACCATTTTGTGCAGTGCAGCCCTATTAACTGCACAGAAAAGCCCTCTCAGATAGAAGGAGAGTTGGTTTTCATACCCCGCCCTACCAGAAGGGAGTCTCAGAGTGGCTTACAATATCCTTTCTCTTCCCTCTCCCCACAACAGACACCCTGTAAAGTAGGTGGGGCTGAGAGAGCTCTGAGAGAACTGCCCTTGAGAGAACAGCCCTGAGAGAACTTGCGACTGATCAAAGGTCACCCAGCTGGCTGCCTGTGGAGGAGTGGGGAATCAAACCCGGTTCTCCAGATTAGAGTCCGCCACTCCTAACCACGACACCAAACTGGCTCAGTTCCGTTTCGCATAGTCTGCAGAAGGCCAGGAGAGTAGGAGCTTCCATGACCTCCTCAGGCAAGGCCATTCTGCAAGTTGGGAGCTCGAATTTAGAGCCTTCATCTGCCTTGGAAGAGGCCCTGCATCCTCTCTGGTGTCGTCCAATGCAGCGTTAGATGCTTTCCCATGATTCTCAGATGTGCTTCTATCTAGCGTGTTTCGTTCCTTTTCTTCTTTTATATCCCGCCTTCCTTCCGTTGAGGACCCAGAGCGGCTCACATCATTCTCCTCTCCACCACTGTATCCCCACAGCAACTCGTGAGGTAGATTTGGCAGAGAGCACGTGACTGGCCCAAGGCCACCCAGCGAGCTGCCATGACACAAATGGGGATTGGGACCTGGTTCTGCCAGATCCTAGTCCGACACTGTAACCACGACGCCACACTGGCTTTCCGTCACCTCTTCTCCAAGAAGCTCAGGGCAGCATACATTTAGGCAGGTCATGAGAGGGAAGGCAGGAAGGGGTGAACCAGTGCTTGGCTGTCATGACTGTTTTCCTTCCTTCCTTCCTTCCTTCCTTCCTTCCTTCCTTCCTTCCTTCCTTCCTTCCTTCCTTCCTTCCTTCCTTCCTTCC